GCTAATAAATTGCAGTTAATTCAGAAATGCTACTTACACAGTGAGTTGATTGAATATCTTTCGGTTTTAAACTGTTGGCAGGACTAAATAAGCAATTTGAAGACGCCATCTTGGTCTCTGGGAAATTGTTATTCAAATATTAAAATAAATGTTAGTTGCAGCCAAAAATAAATCAATAAAATGTTCTGCAATAATTAGGCAGATTACTCCATTGACAACAAGAATGGATGTCACCACTTGACATGCTTTCAAATTACAAAAGCCATAAATAAGCGTGAAACTAAATCACATTTGTGGGCAAAAACTCAAAAGCATAGGCCTTTAATTTTTCCTCACCGCTAATAACTGAAATGTTTCACTTTAACCAACTTTGCTCTGTTGTCAAGCTTGTTCAAACAGTGAGTTGCAGCCCTCAGCCTTAGAATAAAATAGACCTCTTGACACATGTTGGTCACAGTGGAAACAAGTTTTACTTTACGTTATACTGATCAAATTACACCTCAATATTTAAAATATAACTGAACATCAAACCTAAAGCTGTGTAACTCCTTTTAATTGTAGACATGATACATGATACTGTCAACTGCTAATAGCAGATCTTGAATGCCAAGTGATGTAATTGCCTGTGGTACTAAAGGACATAATGGCACATATTGATACAGACTGTGTCTGTGACACTTAACCTGTACATAAAGAATGGCCTCTTCACTTTGTTAGTCACAGAGGACTGTGGATATGGTGTGGACGTGGTCTCAGAGAAGCAATAATGTCACATGAAAATTCTCATTAACTACTGGACAAAATAATGTTGACAACAAAATCAAATATGTTTACCTCCAACTAGTTGTTGAAAGCCAAATAGTCAACCCTCTACTGTGTTATTATTTATTTACTGAGATTACTCAAAATCTTGTGAATAGTTGGTGTGACGAAGTAAAGTTATAACTGTAGCCTCAGGGCTTTCCTTTCTTTTGTTCGTTTAAGATAAACGTTATTTATTGATTTAGCATGTACAATGTAATATGGTGAACAAAGGAAAGGACTCATTTTTACATTTCTATCCCCACCTCGGTCCCACACAACATTTCTGCAAGTACAATACAATAAATAATAATATAAATGATTATAACAAAACAGAAATGAAAAAAGGAAAATTATACTCAGCACTTCCTTCTTGACATATTATTTAAGTCCATAATAAAGCCCCCCTCTTTAGCACGAAGTAATAAGTAAGTTGTGCAATAGTGGAGACAATAGACAAACCCCTGTGTCCCAGGGTCTTCCTTTCTTCTGCTTTGATCCCACTGTGCTTTCAGTGCTCGCAGACATCAAAACTGTAACATGACTATCAGTCATTTGACTGGGGTTTCTCTCCAGGGCTAATTGTCCCTATATCTACATCTGTAGTTTTCTATATATGTATAGGTTGTTGCCAGAGCAGATACAGTAGTAGGTTCAGTGTGACTTGAGATAAATACACATAATTTTGATCTCATTGTTTGTGGTGTTTTGTTATGTTGTGATGAAAGTCTGAAATAACTGTGCTTGTATGAAATTTCCTCATGTTTACCAGCTGCTTCATATGACAATTAACTGTGATTAAACATCGCCATGGTTCTGTGATTTATTAAGTTAAGCAATATAATATGTCCTTGCTGACACTTCCAGTGTTGCCACAATCCAAAGCTGATAAATTATGCTTGTGAGTGAAGTTTGTGTTTTTGAAGACAAACATACACAGACAAATCAAAGATCTGAGATTATAGTTACAGTATAGTACAGCAATGTGTATTCTGTACTTTGTGAGGCACTTGTTTTTGATAAAGTGTAGGTAGATATCTACATTAAATTTCTAGCAATGCACCAAGTGAGCTTTCTCAAGCCATGTAAAATACATCACAAAGAAAGACACCGTTTGTGTTGGGTGCGTGTGTTGTTTCTCACTAAAGATGCCATGTCAGACACCAGACTTCAGTTGCAGTTTACCAGTTGTCATCTTTCTTGAGAAGAAGCAGTGTGCAGTCATAAAGCAGGAGAAGATATTTCTTAATTAGGCCCCAGGGAAATGGCTTGCACGTCATGAGAGCCAGCGTACTGTAGTGTACTGCATATGCTTTGTGTATGCATGCACACTGAATGTTTGTAACATGCATATATGTAAACATGCATCTAGTATTTTTGTGCTCATTTTTTGCACACGTTAGATATTGGATTGCAGTGTGTTAATCCATTAATCTTGGTAAAAGGATAAAGCTACTAAATTCTGTATTTTTTTTTTTTTTGTTAACAAAAACAACAATGATTTGATCTTACTAAAAAGTATTTCCTGTGTAGCTAAAGCCTGACAAGTTATGCCTCTGTGCCATAGAGCTTCATTTTTGTCCAAAAACCTATTCAACACATCAGTGAGGCACATATACAGATGGCGTATTCATGGGATTTGTTGACACCTGTGTTATCCTTTTAATTGATGTTTTATTTATTACATAATATAATATCTGCAGTAGTTCATAAATTACATATACAGCAGTTCATCCAAAAGCCTCAACCTTTGGAGGATATATTGTAGCATTTCCTACTTCATTTTCCTCAAAATTGTATGAATTAAAAGTCAAGTGTGTAACATTTAGAGGGATCTATATCTATAATATTCATAGGAATGTTTTCATTGGTGTAATACTAAGATTTGTTTAATTTTCGTTGAATGAGCTGTTTCGACCTACAGACAGAGTGGTTCCTCTTCTACCATGTTGAACCGCCATGTTTCTACAGTGACCTAGAACAGACAAACCAAACACCAGCTCCAGATAGGGACTTTTGTATTTTTTTTACACTACTTACAGTTCAGTTCTGATGGCTACAGTGCTTTAGCTTAGCAGTTAGAGATGGGCTCTCTCCCTCTCCTGCTCTCTGTTACTCAGTATGTCAGTTGTTTAGCCTGCCTCCTTTAGTGATAATGGTACAAGTAATAAACTACATTTATTGCATGTTCGAACTGGAGGTGTGGCTCCGCAGGCCACAACATGGAGACTAAATGTTAGCTGCTGTGATTATTCCGCCCCCCAGTCGCTCCTGTTATGATTTGGCGCTGTTGAATTATTTCCAAACAGGTCTTTTTAGATTGCTCAGTGTGCCAATCACTCTCTGCAGCCGAGTTGGCTGTGAACTTTCTGCCATCATTACCACAGAGTTAATGTGTGAAAATGATGTTGTGTGACTCTTGTCCATCATGCAGTTCATTCAGTCCAGTGGCCCAGGCCCATGCGAGAACTCGCAAGACAGACAGCTATGGTAGTGCTGAAACCAATTCTCACAATCGAATGTCTGTGTTTTTTTGCAGTTCTTTATATATTCAAATTTAGAATACTCACTGATAACGCTAACTACACCGCTAGTTGCCACTAAATCCTACACACTGGTCCTTTGAATGGAGTATAATTTGTGGTTGTTTGTGTCAGGCTTAGGCTCGGAGGATAGATCCTATATAAAACCAGAGTAATGTGTTATTTACTGTATGCTGGTAGTGGTGTTTTACTGGACAGATGGTAGAAGAGATATTTTCCCAGCTCTGTTTATCACTGTAATGTAATTGGCTGTGATTTTCACAGACTGCGTTCCACCCGGCACTGGATGGTAATAACTGTTGGGACTCTTGACAGTCCTAAATGTTTATGATCACATGTATGTTTTATGGTTATTAATGTTAATCAACAACAATTTTACTGCATTATTTATGAACATATTCCATTCTATTGTCAATTCCCTGCTTACTGAATGAAAACTAAAATTGTGAGGCATGATTAGCAGCTGTCAAGCTTGCATAATAAGTTTAGTTTTAGGCAGAGAAGAGCTGAAATCAGCTCAAATTGAGTGTTTCAAGTTACTCAGAACCCCTCAGGCTTTTATAACTCAACAGGTCTCTCTGGCTGCAGTTAAGCCTCTGGTACTGCTGATTTGTTCACTTTCCAGTGTATATTCAACCTTGCCTCTGGTGGTATGTTGAGTAGGAGATTGTATAGCTGGCTTCATTCAGTGTGGTGGATGATCTGCATCCCCCGCTGGCCTCATTTCCATATGGCCCAGTGTGCCCCTGCTGAAAAACCACACTTCAGTGTCTTCTTAGTGAACCACAAGACTCAGTGGTTCTCAGGATGTTCCACTACAGTCTCTTGGAAAGGGTTTCTGAACTTTTTTAGGGCTGTGACCCTGTTGTATTGGTGAATAAAATAAAGAAATTCTCCTAATCACAACAATTAAATAGCTGAATTTGAGTATGGCATTCTTACTCTGTAGGCCCCATTGCAATTTCCCTAAGCCCAAAGTAACCTCTTCAAATGGCTTGTTTTGTCCAATCAACCCAAAGACATTGAGTTTACAGTTTTGTAAAAGAAGCAAATCCTCTGAGTCGTGAGGATGTTTATCTTGATTAATGGAAACAAATAATCAAAATAGTTGCAGAGTAATTTTCATGCCATGTCATCGATTGTTCTGTTGTCAATAACATGGAGGGAGCTCAAAATAGAAAATTACGATACATTATCATGTGTTACATTCTTTACAAAACATTGCCTCTGACATCAATATGTAGTAAAGGGCACACATGTAAGGTTGAGTGACTGCTCTAGAGAAAACTTGTTTCATTCCCTATGTGGGTCTGAAGTCATAATAATGCAAAGTTAATGTGAACTCACTGAGCCTGAATGTACAGAATGATGGCTGAATCCCCATAAGATGAATTTTTAATAGTGTTCACTACTGTGAATTATGCATGCCCCCCCCCCTTTCAGGTCTAAATGGTATGTTCCGCTCGCCATGATGGCCATAGCCCCCCCACACCCCACCCTCCCCTCTTCTTCCTCCAAAGCTCTGTACACCCCACCCGGTGTCAGGGGGGGATCAGCTGTGCCAGTCCCGGCAGGCCACACACACAGTGCGCTGGTTGGCGAACAAAGCCCCTGGCACTGCCAATGAAGACAAGCCATGCCTCCGTGCTTAGCCTCTCCTCTTTTCACTCTGCCGTGAGAGGAAGGCATGACACCATTGTCGTCGGCTTATCAGAAAGACAACAGTTTTTGGAGGAAGAGGATATACTGTATGTAGTGGAATATTTTTGTGCTTTCTGCTGCTGATGAGTTGAGATGCTGGCGGAGCGCAGAGAGAACAGCAGGTAGGGAAAATCAGGAGCTGGGTGCTGAGCTTGTCTCCGCGGTGACCAGGGTTTGTTTACTGTTACAGACGAGCCTGACCTTGGTGGATGGAGTATAGCATGTTTATTGTTTATTACTGATGTAAAATCAATCATCTCAGTATCAGTGCCAGCCTAATTTACATGTGTACTTAACATTTAAGCAGTTTGGTGGATGCTTACATTCAGAGTGAGTGAGTGCAGTCGTGTACTAAGCTTGGATTACCATCATTACCACCACCGAGCAGTGAGGGATGCAACAGTCGAAGCTACTGTATGTGTAACATAATACGCTGATGTCTCTAGAGCCATCATGTGCTGGATAAAAAGCATAAAGCAAGGGCTTGCCAGGGCTACGTTTAACTTTGTAAAGATGTTGAATTTTTATTTGGTAGACATGATTCCTTTTGTGCAATGTCCTGTCTCATTGCTGATGTGAATCTTTGAATAAAGCATGCCTCAGTATATATTGAAACAGAATTAGTAGTATATTTCCTTCAGGGGTGTCACTGATGTTTTACATATAGTAGCAAATGTTTAAATTTAAGAGCACAAATTACAATTCAGTATTCTTTAAATTGAATTAACAGGCCCTGCTTAAACTAGCAGAGATTTTTTTTTCTTTTCTTGAAACTCACATATAAGGTTATTAAAGGGCTGCATTACAAACAACAAAGTGAATCGACTCAACCAAAAGCTGAGATGGAGAGGTAGGCACCTCTGATGGAACAGAAATAGAAGGAAGAAACATTACAAAGAACCCCTTCAGAAATAATGTAGAGAGCAGCCTGTCCCTCTTAAGACCACATTTTACCACCTTTTTCTAGGAGCTCACATTGTGTGAATAGTTTGCCTTGGAGTTATAGCTTACTATAGGGTAAAGGGATTGTACATACAGTAGGGACCACAGCGCATTTGTGGCTGATTCAACATGCATGTAAAAGGGCAAATATATAGAAATGTGTAATATTAATATATGTTGAAATCATATAATAAATCATATATAATATGAATATGTGATTATAGTTCCCCCTACTGGGGCTAGTATTTTGTAATTATATAATTTTCTTTTGTAAATATGATTGTTGACAGCCAGCAATTTATTTGTGGGACCCACTTGTTGTCATGGATACCATTCAGTGACAAAACCAACACATTACTGGAAAAATACTTGTAAGGCAGCAATAGTACTTATTTGAAAAGGGTGTACTTGATTGATTTTTGAGAAATAAATTAACTGTGTGTCTTTGGGTCACAATAGCTGCTGCACCACAACATTTCCAGTGGTAAATGCTTATCTGCCAAAACAGCTGCGAGGAAAAACACAGGTAGAATTTATTAACATTTGGATGGTGGCTGGTGGTAACAGCAACCATGTGATGATGACAACACAGGCAGCGTTTACTGAAGGCCTAAATAGATATCCAGCGAGGAGGCTGTTGACTCTGGTCCTGTCCGGACTTGCTTGGCATGAGATCATTTCCTGCCCTTCTGGCTCTTATTACGCTCATACAGGTCATGCATCAGCTGTTTATCAAAAACCTGCCACAGTAGTTAGAAGCTGCTCCTTTGAAACTTTGTCACTCGAAATCCACAATGCTTCAAGTTCTGTTTTGTTCGTTATGATTTTTAAAATGTCTCAAGGTGTCAGAAGATATTTTCTATTTCTTCTAGTGGCTTGTCAGCTAACAAAGAGAAGTATCTAACTGTGTTTGTGTGTGTGTCACTATGGCTTGCAGAGGAGACCGTTTATCACCCGTAGCAGCATTTGGCTGGAGATGGTGTGAATTCACCGCTTTGCCTACATAGCCTTTTACTTTCTTCAAATTTGCATTTTGTTTTACAAGTCTGGTTTCATCCAACTCCTGTCAACACAGTTTTTTTTCTTCTCTGTGGAGCTCCCCAGCTTCCACCTACCCCCGTAAACTGTCAGACAGGAGACATTTCTGTGATTACATCACTTTCTCCAGAGGAACAACCACACAAGCCTTTGAAGAGTTGGGCTTTTCCAGGGCACTGGCTGCCTTCATCTCCCAGGAGTTGGTGCTAACTCTGTGAGACGTTCATTGAAGCTGGCGTCCTCTTAAAGAGAATGATTTGAAAAAGACTGGAGGGCCAAGAAAGCAAGCTCAGTTCCCCACTGCATAGGAATCCACATTCCACTGATGCCATTGACTCTTTTTCTTTAGTTCAGTTGAGACAAGACATGGTTTGATTCTGTTTTTGCTTGAAATGGAATTGATTATGGCATTGGCTATAGCGTAGCATGACTAGGGATGCACACAGATTTTTTTTCTGTCTAGAAAGTATCATTAGCTTTAAGTTGGTAATCACTTCGTATGGTGATGGTGCTATAGGTTTCTAATCTCATCAAAGCTGCTATCTTAATCCTCCCCATTATGTCACTACTCCCTAAGGTTGATCAAGTATGCGGTGAGCTTTCTGCTTGCATATGTCAACTGCTGGACAAATTCACATAAGGGCAGACAGATGATTAACGGGCCAGCAAGGTTTAAACTTTCTTGGTTATATTAGGATATAACAAATTCTGTGTCACAGACAAAGCTGCTCAATGGCAGTGTTGGAGATAACAACAGCATAATGTGGAAGCTGTGCTAGGAATCTAAATTGCTTGTGCTCACAATTCTCAGTCCTTCTGAACGATTTCCAGCTTCCTCTAGGTAATCATTTTGGATCAACAGATAAAATAGCTTCATATCTGAGTGAAGTAAATGTTCTCTGTCTGCCAAGTGTGTGGGCATCTTGTTTGTCCTGGCTAGGTTTCCAGATCTGAAATAAGAAATTGTGTTAATTTAGAGACAGTCACTTGAATTAAAGCACTCCCTATATTCTGCTGATAATCCTGCTGTTATATCCATGTTTTAATGCAGAACCCCCCACAACATCAACCATCAGGTATTCATCATTCATATCATTATTTGTATAGGTCTGTATTACATACAATGTCTCGAAAGGTGCCCAAACCGTTTTAAGGAGGGAAGTAAAACCTGATAGTAAACTTGGTTAGCATCCAGACAGTGGAGACAAATGAGAACAGACAGGGATTTAATCATTTTTTTGTGTGTGTATTGTACTCATGTTTGTCCATTCATACTTAAATTTACAATAATACACATCTGAGACGAGACTAGACTGTCCAGCTACTGTCTAGCACGTATGCTATTTTAAGTCTTGAAACCTTTGTTTTCACACCAGACTGGATAAATAACAGCTACCATCTATTCTGAAACGAAGCTTCATCAAGCCATTCAAAAACAAAATGTGTGTTTAAAGTGAGGCTGTGTTCCTCCCTGAGATATTAATCAAGTAAAACTGGTCCAAGACAGTAATTTGATGATGTGTCCTAGGCCTAGATTCTGTGGCTTCATTGCTTACCAAATAGGTGGAGTGAGTTGTAATGCTGCATTTGTCTGCAGATCACTGCCTCTCCTTTTGTTGATTTTCCAGCTAAGCCTTATGCTGAGTCGTATGACATGTGTTTGCCCCAGTTTGTGGTCCCAGCCCTGCTGCGCTCCGGCTCTACCATTCTCTCTGCACTCTTGTCTGCCTCAGTGACTTTCTGTTACATAGGGCCCAATACAGCAGCGTTAACAGTCAGCATTGTTCAGAGATAAATGCTAGCTTTGATCTGGGGTAAGGCTACATTATAGCACAAAAGATAGGTGAGCTACTTAGGCATCAATACAGCTTAAAGGATCATTTAATTTTTATAAAAGGTTGGTTTAAACAAAGACCCAGGCTCGCCACACTGATCTTGTAGATTTTAAAAAAGGCCAAAGGTGGCATTATTATAAATTGTCCATTCTAGATATCCATCACAGTTTATAGATTGACTTTGTGGTTCAAAGCAGTTGTATGTTCCTGTGCAGTTGTGGTTTTTTACTGACCTTTTCAGTAAGTGCTTACTTTTGGTTTAACTTCCAAATAAAGTGGTGAATTTCTTGTTCTGTCGTACCTCATTTCAGTTATACTGCCCTGTTCCCAGATCTCAGCTATTATTTGGGTGATAACAATGTTGTTAGAAACGATAGAAATGACGTCAAACTCAATGAAAATGAGACCCTTTGAAAAACAAAATCTTCAGTCACCTGCAGAGCTGAGTGTTCATAACGTATCTCCGCATCACTTCTTGTTAATAATGTAGTTTGTAGATGACAGTCAAAACAGTCACCTCACTCAAAAATTCCATGGCCCTTGCTGTGTGATGTAGCCCCGCAGCTCTGTTTTTTCCTGAAATCTGATGAGCATAGTATTTGATTTCATAAAAATTTTATAATTTCTTGTGATGTCGGCAGAGGTTCTCCTTATTTCACGTGAGGTGCGGTGCCTCCACTATAAAACACTGTGGGAACCCTGAGAAGTTGTAAATAATAGAATTTTCCTTTTTGTTTAGGTGGATAGAGGAATAGGGCTTTCTACTTGTGATTGTGGTTATCTGGTTATTTTTATGTAATGGAAAGAAACCTTGAGGTAGCAAAGATGTATTATTTAAGAATGTATGTGTGACAAAGGCAATGCATATTAGAATTTCCCTCAGGATAAATAAAGTATCTATCTATCTATCTATCTATCTATCTAGCTATCTAGCTATCTAGCTAGCTAGCTACTCAGTTATAACTCCCTTTGTGACCCCCACCAGCCGGCCTTTACATTTTCTGGTTGGCAGAATTATCCAGGTTAGAAGCAAAGTCTATTTTTAAGATGTCACCAGGTTTCAATGTGTGACACCCACTAAGACTCTCCAAACAAATCCAGGTCTCTGAAGAAACTCCTGCCAGTTTCTATCAGTCCTATTGGTTTTATGGAGTTTTTTCACTTTGATACTTGCAGCTTAACAATGACTCAGGAACCTGGGCCACTGGGCTGGATATTTTTAAACCAGCCACAGTCCAACCACTTCTGCTTTTGGATTCTAAATTTCTGACATCCAGCAAGATTTTCTCCTTTACTGGCAGCTTTTC